TCTGTGTCAGTGTCCTCGTGAGTTTTCAGGTTTGATCGAGTGACTGATGGTTGAGAACACAGTGAACTGCTGCCCCCTGCTGTGTCACACTGGTAATTACTGCCCACAGGTGAGGTATAAAATATAAGTTATAATATTTAAAATATAAGATGTTTAACTCTTGTTTATCATCGACGGGACACTTTATTTCCCACCATGCACCACAAACTGAAGGTCTCTCATCTCCGTTGGTCAGAGAAAAGACGTCACACTGATAGAATGGACACCACAGGTTCACCTGGCCTGCAGGTAACACTGTGTCCTCAGCTGACGTCTCAGGTTTCATTGATTTAAATATTACTTTGACACAATCGATAGGTGGCCTCCAAACCAGAGCTGATGCAAACTAAAAAAATGCTGATACAGAGATTTGAATCGTCTGACAAATGTTGGACGACAGAATTCTTTCCTGGTGCAATAAATCAAAGTCCAGACAATCAATATTTTTTTAATCTCAAACATTCTTAAACACAATGCAAATATTAAAACTCCCTCTTCTTCATTAATTAATCATGAGACCAAATTCAAATGTATTTGACCCCTCCTCTTTACACTTTAATACAAATAATACAAATCAATAAACAACATTTTATTTACATTTCTTCCGTTAACGTGTTTGGTTTTTCTACTGTTTCTATAAAAACTTTCAGTGTGAATGAAGTTTGAGACGTAACAGACAGAATATTAGATATTCTCTCTGTCTGTGATTTAAATCCAATAACATCTGATCACGTGTTCACATCCCAAGGGTTCACGTTGTGGTCGACCAGCAGCAACTTGTCCTGAGGTGTGTCCATCAGAGTCTGTCACACTCGTACTCGGAGCCGGCCTCAGACGGCCTCGGCAGGTCGATGAAGAACACCTCTTTGTTGACGGGTGGTGGCGTGCAGGGTGGACTGGGTTTGGCCTGGTACGCGGGGGTGTACTTCTTCTCTGTTTGGTCAAGAGGAACTTTGAGTCTGGCTCCTCCTCCTGCTGCAGCGCGGCCGTCGGCCTTTGGCTTGAAGCGCTTCAGTTTGACTGTGTCTTTGGCGTCACGAGCGCAGGGCAACAGGATGGTGACGTCTTTACGGAACTTGGAGCTGAGTCCGAAGTAGATGAGGGGGTTGTAGAAACTGGCTGATTTGGCGAAGAGGCGGGTGAAGATGCTGGTGAGGTTGGGCACATGGAAGCCCCAGGCTGACCACATGGACACCACGGCGTAAGGAGACCAGGCGAGGATGAAGGCCGTACAGATCACTATGGAAACCTGCAGGACAGAGACGAGACTGAGGACTGGACCCATAAGATGCTCAGCTGGACGTAATGTACACTGAGGACTTGTGGGTAATCCAGACTCACGATGGTGACGTCTCTCTCGATCTTCCTCTGGCGGTCGGTCAGGTCGCCCTCTGCGGACATGGCGTTTCCTCGCTTCACCGTGTTGATGATGGACACGTAGCAGAAGAGCATGATGAGCACCGGGATGAAGAAGCAGAAGACAAAGATGGAGATAATGTACGACTTGTACACGCTCGAGTAGCTTGCTTTGGCCCAGTCGATCTCACACGTCCCGTACCCACGATCTGCAGAGAGGTCAGAGGTCAGAGGTCAGGTGGTCAGAGGTCAGAGGTCACGTCAGAAAGCTGCAGAGCTTCAAACAGAACAGTTGGTGTTGGTTCAACCTTTGTAGCTTCCCCAACCGAGCACTGGAGCTCCAGACCAGAATCCAGCTGTGATCCAGATGAGCAGGAGACTCGCAGAGACACTGGACACACTGATATGACGAGCTTACACACACACACACACACACACA